TTTTAGTTAAGAATAAAATTGATAAAATGAAATGAGTAACAGATTTAGGAAGCTATTTAATTGTTTAATGGTTTTAAGATGAATTTTGTTATTAAAATCAACATCAGCAAACTTTTTATCCATGCAAATTCATAGCTTATTCAAACAGTATATCTAACATTTTCTGTCACATTTTGCACTAAACGAATGGGTACAAGAGCAGCTAGCTATAAGACTAAGAGAAAGAAAATAATAATGATATTTAGGTATTCAATCACTTTCAAATGTATTGAAATGAAATTCAATATGACAAAAGCTTTTAAGTAACTATAAACATACAAATTTTTACAGCGATTCATCATTGCAAAGATCGAAATAAATGAATATTGTTTCATTTGCTTTCTTTTAATGACAAGGAAGTAGTTTTTTCGAAAATAATAAATATATAAATATTAATTAAGCCGAGTAAAAATAGATAGGTTTGTGAATCAGTATTAAAATCTGGAGTTTGTCTGAATTCTAAATGAGTACAAAATGTAAATCATATGTTATAATGTGATTATGATTAAATTTACGATGTAGGAGGCTTTAAATCTAAAGTTATCCGGAATCATTTGTCATTGTATAATTGTATTCCTCCTTGTCTTCTATGTAACTATTATGAGTGTTCAGACTAACAGTATGAAACAGTCGTAGTATTGTTGATTTTTCATCACGATCTTCAATTAAGAGACTTTTTAATCCATTGTTTTACATGTAATAATAAATTCAATATGAGGGGAATTAATTTTAAGCTACATTGATTGCTATTTCATACTGCAGGAAAATAACAGTAAGATATATGAAATCCTTTTGACTCAATGAAATGATACATGATATATATTTTTATTTCTAGCTCTAATGAAAAATATCCGTACATCAATATTCTTAACATTCTAGGTATCAAATTGACAGTCACATAGACTATTTTCCCAAAATCATTGATTGCAAAAAGTCTGTGAAATCATTACAGCTGATAATCCTTCTATTAGAAATTTAAAATAAAAAAAGTAAATATGTTAAACAGATTTTAGGTCATTTTTGTATTTTTTTAATGGACGAAAACTTGCTATAAACAGGTTCAAGTTTTCTGTCTATATTAATGTTTTTATTGATCAAGGTTTTGAATACCCTTTGAATAAATTCCATAACTTTAAAGTACTAAGAAGCAATGTTTCAAGTAAGATGGAGGATATTTAGCTTTGCTAATTAATTTGGGGGAAATTGTCAGAAGGCTTAAATGTACTTCTTTTGAATTCACTTGCAGTGCCCTCCCTTGCTTGAGATCAGACTTGACAACCATTCAGTATGTTAAAGGTGCTTGGACACAGATTTGAAGTTAATATTTTCTCAGATTTTCTGTATAATTTCATGACTTATATATTGCTATAGCATTTCATACTAAAATATAATAAAAATCTTATTTCATCTCGAAGTTATTGAAACTTCAAATATCTGGACGCGTTTGATTGACACATCCTTGCACTTTCACAATTTTTAATTTTATACTTAATACTTCAGAAAAGTGGCAGTTTTGTTGTGTATAAATGAAAAGTATTAAAACTATAATCCAGAAAATTCAGAGTAGAAATGTTCGAAAGCAAAACCCACTCACAGTATTGTCATTCCGTGCTCAGTGGTGTGTGCAGACTTTAACAATTGAACTCACCTGGTGAATCGTAAACATTAACAATAACAGAGCTCGTGCCCTGTCTACAGAAACAGTTTTCGTTTCATTGGTGTATTCAATTTGTTAAACTCTGTACACAACACTGAGCACGGGCTGACGATATTAGTGAGGGGGTTTGCTTTCGCACATTTCTACTCTGAATTTTCTGGATTGTAGATGTAATGTTTTTCATTAATACAGAACAAAATCGCTTCTTTTCTTGAATATTAAGGATAAAAATAAAATTTGTGAAAGTGCAAGGATGTGTTTATCAAACGCGTCCAGGAATTCGTAGTTCCAATAATTTCCAGATAAAATAAGTTTTTAATTATATTTTCGTGTGAAATGCTATTGCAATATATAAGTCGTGATATTATACAGAAATTTTGAGAAAATATTAACTTCAAATCTGTGTCTAAGCACCTTTAAAAGAACATTTTGTTTGTTACAAACATTTTATATTGATGTAGATAGGTATTATTGAGGTCAATCAGAACAGGTACAGTTGGTTGTTGATTTGGTTCGTATAAAAATCTTTGTTCCAGTTTGGTCTGTCGAGTAAATACTTCATTGAAAATAAAATGCTGAAATACTTACACGCTTAAGACATCGCGATTATCTAATCAGTTATTTAAGGTTAATGAATTTCGCGGTTCCTAGTTTACATTTATGTTTATAAAATGTCATTATGTGTCTAATAGTATCAAATTACAACAATTAATTTTTTTTCAAAGCTATTTTTGACATTAATGTCATTAATTAGACACCACCTTTTGAATTAGAACAATAAAAATAAAAAAAAATATTTCTGAACTGAAAAACCACTTAATTTTAATTAGAAATGTGTGGTCTAAAATTTTTATCAGGAATCCTCAACATTGATTATTTAAAGCTTGAATCTAAATGAACTAAGAGATCTGGGCGGTGTTTTTAGTTTCCATTTTTGTATGTTTGTGACTCTGCAATACAAAATATAGACTAAATGGAATGATAGCTAGAAATGTTCATTTCAGCCATCTAAATTTGAAATTCAATACTCTCCAAGATTGACGATATCATGTAACATATGGTCTGGGGTTGAAAAACTTATACGGAATATTATCTTCAATATCTATGCATGTTCATCATCAAGTAATTGAATGTTCTTCATCACATCAACGCATGCTTGCCTATCTCTAGTATTCAAGCTAAAAGTCCATTAAAACAATACAAATCGGAAGCAGAGCAAACACAGACCTCCAAAAACAGATGTGGGATCATAGAATACTATACAAATTGATCCACCGAACACAGTATGATTTTAATCATTAAATAGAAACCTTAATGGACAATCTCATAGAAAATTTCGAGATAATATTTCCAGTTTTAGAATGTTCAGCGGTTTTTAAGGGCCCGTTGCATTCGTTTGGACGAATTAAAAGTTTGATCTGTCAAATAAGTTCTTCGTATGAATAAAGAAACTCTTTTTATGGACGAATTGACTCACAATAATTCGCACTGATTGTCTCACACTATTTCAAATCAATTTACCAGGAAGAAATCTTTCTATTTTCAAATCGATCCCAAACCATTATGGAAGATATCGGAGCTGAAATAAGGTTACTCTAGATCACTGAGAAAGTAAGAGTTTTAATCTAAAGGTAGATGACTTAAAAGTCTTCTCGATTTATTTTATGTATAAGATTTTTGAGCTTGATCACTTTTCGTTATCTTTACCCTTTTCACTTTCTAGATAAGATTTCTTAAAACGCGACATTGGCTTTAGCTGCAATTGTAAGTAAGTGGAATAAAGGTAAGGGATTAATATTTTTCAAAATACATGTACATTAATTTCTTTTTAAATTGTGTACAATTACCACCCGAAAATAACAGGGTCGGTAGAGCGCTTGCTCCGTGATCAGAAGGTCGTGTGTTCGAATCACAGCGGCGACTGACCTAAGTCGATAAAAAAGGTAGCAACTGTTCATTCGCCAAGCGTTCGGCATCCTGAAGTGAAAGTTGCGAGTCCTTCGGATGAGACCTTAAAAACCGAGGTTCGTGTCACGGTAGGCGTTGGTACGAGAAAGAACCCTCACTGCTCAATGGCCCTGATGGCCGATTAAAGGTCTCACTTTGAAGCCCTTCATCGGTATATGGGGACGTCTCTATATGAGTGAAAAATTCTCGAATGGGACGTAAAAAAACGTACAATCAATCAATCATCATATATACAAGCAAGAATATTTAAATAGTAGATAAAATTCAGAAGTAGCAATATAACGGTAAACATGTATGATTATTATGCTTTGCTCCTGGTCCATGACATGTATGGACAATTAACCCACAAACTACGTAAATTGTTTTCCTTTTAATAGCTTATTAGATCCTGAAAGTCATTCTGGATGATTTTAATTATTTCCTGACATCACATTATGTGTGTTTAGCAAAACCACAGTTGTGACAATAAACCATAAAGTATTATGTGATTGACCAAAACATTAACATTAACTTTGTTCAGTTTAGATATTAGCTTTGATCCCATCTTATTCTTTTTATTCAAATGAAGAAATAAAAAAAAGAATATGATTTTAAAAAATAAAATTTATTTGTCTTAAATAATTTGAATGAAATCACATATATTTTAAAAAAAGAATATAATTAAAAAAAATAAAATGTATTTGTCTTAAATAATTTGAATGAAATCACATATATTTTTTAACCCTCCTTTTAAATCTTTAGATATTTGTTGATTTGATTGATTGTATGTTGTTTTACGTCCCATTCGAGAATTTTTCACTCATATAGAGAGGTCACCATATACCAGTGAAGGGCTTCAAATTTAGACCTTTACTCGGCACTCAGGGCCATTGAGAAGTGAGCGTTCTTTATCGTGCCAACGCCTACCGTAACACGGGGCCTCGGTTTTTAAGGTCTCATCCGAAGGACCCGCAACTTTCACTTCAGAGTGCCGAGCGTTTGGCGAAGGAACAGTTGCTACCTAATTTTATCGGCTTAGGTCAGTCGCGACCGTGATTCGAACACACGACCTTCGATCTTTAGATATTCGTACGGAGAATTGAAATAAATTTTTGTAAGATGTTCAAAATTTCATGAAATCGATGTAAAGCTTAACATTAGTTTTTGATTCTAGGTACTTTGTTCTATTAATCTGCGAGACTCATAAGGCAAAAATTAGTCAATCATAATATATCATTAACAATAGAGGAATAAGACAGATTACAAAGAATTACCTTTACAAATCATTGTACATACACCTTTACAAATCATTTTACATACTCGTACATCAACAAACTACAGGAGAAACTAGGGCAGGTCAAGTTTAAATCTATTTATTAATCCAATAAACCTTGATTTAAAAACAAATACAAAACAAATAGAGGTACAGCCCTATATATTTATCTAGCGAGACAGTTAAGTCACCAATTCTCTGAATCAGAAAGTCAAAACCAGAATTATGATCAACTACATACACTCATCGTAGCATTCATGGAAATCTTTAAAGCACGATCTGTAGCATCCTCTTTTGGACCGACCGCCTTGTGTCTGACAGCCTTGTATACAACTGACCCTCTGCTGGTCACATGGTACAAGACACAGGCATTCTACGTCACACTCTGTATAGTCTTCCTTACACTCTACAGCACATTCCAAAAAGTCTTTCCGGCTACGAATATGGTCTACACGACACTCATTAGCACAATCAACCTTCTCACGATTACACTCTTTATTGCAGTTACGATAGGAGTTTGAGTTGTCTTTGGTTATTAGGGATTCTGTGGTGAAGAACTGGATCAGGATAAGAATTACAAGCAAGACCTGAAAAATATCAAACACAAATGACTTCCATCGAGATCAACAACATATAAACGTGCAAATGAATAACTGTACATCAAGAGTCTGAATATATAAAGTTGCATGTGACTTCCACTGACATTGACATGATAGAATTATTTGATATAATTTTAAATTATTTACATACCAACGATTTCTTCATTTAATTCATTATTTTGCTATCTCTATAAAATTTTAAAAACTTAGTTTAAACAAATAAATATTTTTGAAGAAAGCATTAGCATATAAAATCTGCTTTAGTATCTCATATAATACAAACACCTTGAAACTATTTTCTTCTCTTTTCCTGCCAATATTTATATTAACAGTAGATAAACAAAAGAAATCTTTCTAAAGGATTTTTATCCTTTTAGCCATGGAAAAAATATTATCATTAAAATACTTAAAAGTTTAACGATTCACTGAGTTCTATTGCAAAATAGCCAGTTCACACAATCCTTTTTCTTACCATTTTTACACAGGAAGTATAGCCACGAACAAGAGTTCAGATACAAAATAAACACTTCATTTATCTGTTACTTTATATATTGTATCTTTATGCATACATCATATTTCATACCTCCATCATTTTTATCTAAATTTACAAGGGGATTGTCAAATTTACATGTCATGAATATATCCTATTTATAAAATGTATGTTACTCGTTGCTGTTTCATATGTTTGAGTCTTCTGTCAAATGTACGGAAGGCTGAAATTAATTTTACCAAGCTAATGCAATTAAGCAAGCTCTCTTTGTGACATTAACATTCTAAATTGCATAACATTGTTAGATGAGTTGTAAGGTTGTTCATTAACATGTCTTGTGAAATTTTATTCAAGTGCGAAGGAAAATGGGGAGAAAAAAAAATGAGTGAAACGAAACTGAAGTTCCTTATTTGGTTTCAAATTTAATATTTCGAAAAAAAGTCTTAGATTTTTTTTTAGATTTGAAAAAATGTGTATACATTTGCTTTTCTAACCAATAAAAATTAGAAAAAAAAAATATATATTTTCTGACACATTATACAATTCCCTCTTTCAAGAAGGACATTAAGTCTGCCTAGATGTTCTGTATCACGTATTGATCCCAGATGTAATCTCTGAACCATAAGCTCCCTTTATGTCAACTTGTGTTCAGATCAACCATTGCTACCGGGCTATGAAGTGGTAACATTGTTAAAAAGCTTGAGGGGCTTGAATTTCAGTTTTTAGATTTATGTTATTCTAAGTGAGTTAATGTCTATGATCGACAAATTTTTTTTTCTTTTAAAAAAATAAATGTGACACAAAGCTCAATCATAAGTTATTGAGGTCAGGGCGAAAGGTTGAATCACACATATTGAATAGAATATACAGCAATAAACTAATATTATGATTGTGAAATGAGGGCATATATGTCGCTAAACTAAGTCATTGTCTCTGAATTTTTTTTATCTGCTCCGCTGAGTTTGAAATCGTTAACGTTTGTTTTACACATTTCCTCTGGAAATTATATTTCCTGCTTCTCCGTACAGGGTTAATAAAGCGAACTTCAAAATTTCTTTCAGGAAAATATCCTTTACAGTATTTATTATCACATGGAAAATGAAGAACTCATTTAAAGTCCAATGGAAGCTTCCATTAAAAAAAAAGCAACGAAAGAACTGAGAAAAAGAAGAATTTAAGCATGTTATTTTAAGATGAAAATGTTTAATATCAATATTCTTTTTGAACTGTATTTATAGCTTAGTACTTCAGACGCATAAAACATTTTGTTTTTTAGTCAATATTAGTATTTTGTAGATATCATCTACAGAGTATTTAACAAATTATCGAATAAAATTATCATCATTAAAATTTGCTTTTGTCCATAATTGTAAGTTATTAATTGGGTAAACCGCACAAGAATTTTATATTTAACAATACCATGTAATAGAAAACAGATAAGTGAAATATGAAGATAAGCAACAGTAATTATGCTTGTATGTCCATCGATGCATTACAAATTGTGAGCAGAACAAACATGGACCTAAAAAGAGGTGGGATCAGGTGCGATGGGGGAGTAAGCAAACCCTTTCGCCTGGTCACCCACCGTCTGCTATTTGTCATGATAGGGTAAACGGAGAAAACTGTAGTCAATTCAGTAGGAAAATAATGGCCTAACAATTTGTATAAAAGACGTTAGTCAACATTCGACCAAATGATGGATTGTGTTAGCAAACAGTCATTGTGTCGACCATAGAATTTGCGAAATGTGTACTTCAACGTAAGAATGAAAATAACTATTGTTTATTGACAAAACGTCACCAATATATCTAAATGTCGAATTGATGGCCATAACAAGAAACTTCTGTATTGAAACAGCTCTGCTAAAAAGATGCAAAATTAATACCTATGGGAATTCCAACGGAATGTTGGAAAACCTGGTCTCTAAACGCTACATAGATATTGACAATGATAAAAACTCAAGTATCATATTAATATCAACTTCGTAGTACTTGGGTATAGAATCAGAATTATTTAAACAACGTAAATCTGCAGATTACCAATAACAATGTAGGAAAATAAGCGATTTTCATTCCTATTAAAAAAGCAGTTGTCTATGATGACAATTTAATTTATCAGGGGAATAATTGTATAAAGTCTTGAAATGCTATTGATTTTGGTAAAATTTGGTGATTTCAAATTTTTCTTAGTCTTTTAATTGTTTTCGTGAACAGTAAAGAAAGAGGCTTGGTAGAATATTGCTTGATCCAGCTATGTATCTCTGTAAGAATTTTATGAAGTTTTGAAATCCAATAGAGGTATAGTAATTCAAAATCAATTTATTTAATAGGAATATTGATATTATTTAAACCTGTCATGTGATGTTCAAGAATCTCTTCCTTAGAAAGCGACCTATGAGTGTAAGTTGGACTACGCCTTGTAGAATTCAATCCAAGTTTCTCTAAAATGAATATTTAATAATGAACCTTACAAACGCAGACTATCTTGTTACTTGCTTTTTCAGCTGGAACAAGTACATATAGATCATGTAATCTAGAAAATTCTTTTAGTCACTTCTAAATTACTGATTGCAGAAGGATTGATAATTCTCATATTGTATTTCAATGGTTATACTTTTATCCATTCTGACTAAGTATCAATGTTTCCTTCATATTTTATCCAAATATGGGATTTTTGATATCTTGAGCATTGGGGCTCTCCAGGTAAATAACACCAGAACTACCAAGACCACTCCCCCTCCTCAGGTAACCGAACGGTAAAAAAATTGGGTCTTTAAAAGTCAATAAAAATTTGCCTAATTTCTTCTTGCTATTAACTGAAAAACGTTTCATGTAAACTTCAAACGTACTTATAAATAATTTTCATTTCCGTGTTGTCTTTTCTTGTTTAATAGATGTACCTTTCAGTGTATACGATGAATTGTATACCTGGCACAAGATATAAATCTTGAGCTATAAACTGAGAAAAATTACAAACATGTCGGTTAAAAAAGCAGTTATAAACAGCCAAAAATATAAAATTTCCACTTAATGGAATAATAATAATAAAAAAAAAAAACAAATTAAAGAAAGAAAATTTAATTTTGAAAGGTAATAGCGAATGCATAGTATTATTTTCAATTCCGCGACTTTTCAAAACTAAACAAGGCAAGCTTAAAGAAGTATGAAAACTATCTTTCGCATCAGTATAGAAGAGGAAATTGAAAATCAATGTTCACTTCATTTATGTAACTTTTTATTATTTTAATCTTTTTTTTCCTATTAAAGTTATAAAAAAAATATATTTTCATATTTTATATATTTCTGTTTTATATCCGAGTTATTCCATGTGCATACATTATTCTGTGTTCTATCATGTCTGCATGTCGACAAAAGCAAATACACGTATTTATATTTTATATTGTTAAAAAGTAATGTAAATTTGCAAGCACTGACTGACAAAACACATTTTTGATTGCATAACATTGTGCAATGCATTTAAGATATCATATTTGTCGGGGGAAATGTGTCTTTTTGTGTAAATTTTATATTTATGGAACAGCCAATTTCGATTTTATTACCATCTAGTAAACTCAAATACAGAATATATGAATTTATGAAACTAAAAAAAAATTATGATTGCTTAAAGTAATTGAAAAACTTTTTGAAATTCTTCTAGAAAAACAGTAGATTTTTAAAAAATAAAACATTGGTAAGGCAGTATTTTGATTGTTTTGATAATAGATAACAAACGAGGACACACATGTATCAAACAATGCTTATATAAATTTAATTATGGCAGCTTATGGTGAAGGTTAAAGTTTCTCAAATGCAAGTCAAAATCCAGGCCAAAAGATAAAAAATGTTAAATTTGAAAGCCCTAGCACCAACCATTCAAAAGTTATGGCCAAGGTTAAAGTTTTACAAAAGTAGGTCAAACTCCTATGTCAAGGTCAAAGGGTCAAAGTGGTTGGTATCCAAAGAGAGGTCTTGTCACAAGGATTACATATGTGAAGAATGAAAGCCCTAGCACCAACCATTCAAAAATTATGGCCAAGCTTAAAGTTTTTCAAAAGTAGGTCAAACTCCTATGTCAAGGTCAAAGGGTCAAAGTGGTTGGTATTCAAAGGAAGGTGATGTCACAAGGATTACATATGTGAAGTATGAAAGCCCAAGCATCAAACATTCAAAAGTTATGGCCAAGGTTAAAGTTTTTCAAAAGTAGGTCAAACTCCTAGGTCAAGGTCAAAAGGTCAAAGAGGTTGATATCCAGAGGAAGGTCTTGTCACAAGGAATACACATGTGAAGTTTAAAACCCAAGGCACCAACTGTTCAAAAGTTATGGCCAAGGTTAAAGTTTTTCAAAAGTAGGTCAAACTCCAAGGTCAAGGTCAAAAGGTCAAAGGTGTTGGTATCCAAAGGAAGGCCTTGTAACATAGAATACACATGAAGTTTGAAACCCCAAGCACCAACTGTTCAGAAGTTATGGCCAAGGTTAAAGTCTCATAAAATTTTGCAAAAGTGGGTCAAACTCCAAGGTCAAGGTCAAAAGGTCAAATATGATGGTACCCAAAGAAAGGTCTTGTCACAAGGAATACACATGTGAAATATGAAAGTCATAGCTCCAACCAATCAAAAGTTATGGGCAAGGTTAAAGTTGACAACTGACAGACAGACAAACAGACAAACAGACAAACAGACAGACAGGACAAAAACAATATACCCCCGGGATCTTTCGATCCGGGGCATAAAAATAGATTGTACATTAGCATATTCATAAAAAGCAATGGTTTTTGGTGGTCTCTAAAGATCTTCATAATGTATTGCGACCACATGTACATTTTGTAAGACAATTTCTCTGTAAATCACGTCAGTCATCATAATCTAAGCTCAATGTGTTTAGGCAGTCCGATCCTTAGGTTCTAAAAGAAGGGACATTTTTATTAGCATTCTCAATTACTCAGAGAAACTGAAAATGCTTATAAAAATGTCTCTCAGTTCTCAAAGTAATGTGTATTTACCCATGGTATTTCTTCAAAGTAGATCATTATAGATAATCATATTATTTGGGGAAAATTATCAAATCTCAAATATA